TTAAAGGGGTGTGGTTAAGTAGAATGAGATTTTTTTCGGCTCCCGCAATGCAATTTTGCTCTCCACCCAAACATCCCAAAAAACAAATAAACACACACATAAATGATGTAAACATAAAGAACTCACGGATTGGTTGCTAGAGGTTATAACAGATCATTACTGCTCACTGATTAGTTGCGAGAGGTCACTGCAATTAGTACAGGAGAGGGTCGGAGACTTCAGATGTAGTACAAGACTTGGTCAGAGACTGCAGGCTTAGCACAGGAGATGGTGAGACACAGTAGACATACTACAGGAGTTGGTTAGATACTGCAGTCATAGTAGGGTAGAGGGTCAGAGACTGCAGGAGTACTACAAGAAAGGGTCAGAGACTGCAAGCGTACCACAAAACTGGGTCAGAGACTGCAGGCGTACTACAAGACTGGCTCAGGGACTGCAGGAGTACTACAAGACTGGCTCAGGGACTGTAGGAGTACTACAAGACTGGGTCAGAGACTACAGGGGTACTACAGGAGAGGGTCAGAGACTTCAGGCATACTACAGGAGAGAGTCAAGGACTGCGGGCAAACTGCAGGAGAGGGTCAAGGACTGCAGGTATACTACAGGAGAGGGTCAGGGATTGCAGGCGTACTACAGGAGAGGGACAGAGACTGCAGATGTACTACAGGAGAGGATCTGAGACTGCAGGAGTACTACAGGAAAGGGTCAGGGACCGCAGGCATATTACAGTAGAGTGTCAGGGACTGCAGGCATACTATAGGAGAGGGTCAGGGACTGCAGGTGTACTACAGGAGGGGTCAGAGACTGCAGGCATACCACAGGAGGGGATCAGAGACTGCAGGCGTAGGCATGTCCCCATCAGGGTAACCCCATAGAGCAGGTGTTCCCATCAGGTGTCCCTATCAGAGTGACCCCATCGGGCAGCAGGTGTCCCTATAAGAATAACCCCATAGAGCAGGTGTTCCCATCAGACCGACCCCAGTGACTGCTGGATAGAAAAAAAAATACTGGCAATTGCAGAGACTTTTTTTCTTTTATGCACAATCATGGATACCATAATATGAAGCAATGACCAGCCAATCAGAAATTACCTGTGTCCTCTGGTCGGTGGGTTGTCTGCTCTCAGGCTGCCCTGGCTGCACCTCCTGAGTCCTATGATTGGGTCTCCACACTTTGTGTTCCTGGACCTTATCTCTAGTTGTGCCCCCAGCCTCTCTGACAGTTCCCTGTGTTGCTGAACCTGCTCTGGTCTGCTCCTTCCTAGTGCGGACCAATCACAAGAAGAGGAACATGACTTACTGTCATCATTGATTGGCAGTCTCAGATAGGGGGAGGGCAAGGGGATCGCAGGGGATGATCTGGACAGAGGATACGCTCTGCTACTCTGCCGTCTGGCCAGCGACAGTACAGTCATCTAGCCAGCAGCATGCAGCAGCCATCTAGTCAATCAGAGCTGAGTGTCCGTGACAAATCTACATTTTTGGGACTCTGCCCGGGACAAAGACTGTCCATGACAGCTGTCAAAATTCTGTGAGCATCTCGGGCATTTCGGGTCTGTTGGCAACAACTATGCTGAACTCCTCTGTGCCCTTGTAGACGCCTTAAAGTGGAACTAAACCTACTAATTTCAAGTTGAACTAAACCCTCCTATCCTTAGCAGTCAGAGAAGCTGCAATTTTAGCCTCTGTTTGATCTACAGTTGCCATGGTGCTGTGCATGTGATCAATTATGGCAGTCACCGGCCATTTGATAGTTTGACAGTTTGGTTTGGAGCACAAGCAACCTTGATATTGGCATTATTCCTTGAAAAAGTGTAGCACAATCACAATATAATCAAAAGAAAACATTAAAACATTAAAAAATTCAGAGGAAATATACTCACATCCAGGGGCAGACTGACCATTTGGAAACTCGGGCACTGCCCGAGGGCCCGGGGTCAGTAGGGGGCCCCATGAGATGCCCCTGGTACCTTTTTCATAGGCTTTTTTGAGTTTGGGCAAGGACACAGGGGCCCCATGATCCCCTATTGCCCGGGGGCCTCATGAATTGACAGTCCGCCCCTGCTCACATCTTCCAGTGAACTGGATCAATTTCCTCTTTAAAGCAATGCCAGCATGGGTTTCACATAGAAGTGTGTTTCCTTCCTACTTATCATGCTGACAAGCTACACAAGCTACACCAAGAGGTCTGGAGAGTTACTGCAGCCTGGTTAAAGGGCAAGGCGCTTGTATATACATGATTGAGGTGAGCAGCTAGTTATTGGTGGCAGATTACACTGGGTGTACACCATCATTTATCATGAACCATTATCACTGAATTGTTTTTGGACACTGACCACCTTTGGAATATAGCAACAAAATTGTGGACTGGACTTTTGTACATAATGTTTTTATTCACATTTATATATGCACTTTACATTGTGGTATTTTTAGTTAGTATGATTTTATATACATGTTAATGCATGTCATTTGTTTACACATGAATGTCTATTCCACCCTAAACTGTTAGGTCATATTGTATTGAAGTTGGATGTGCACATTAACGCATATTAGTAGTGCATTTCTTTCATTATATTGTGATTGTGCTGCACTTTTTCAAGGAATAATATTATCACTGGTGTAGGAATGCATGTCAGCGCTGGCTGCAGTTTTTCAGTTTTTTTGCCCTTTTTTGGGGTTAATCACTGGGTAATGCAGAGACAAGAATACTTTATTTCATTTGATATTGACATGCCTTAATGGTTTTGGGAAACAATTACATGGGTTTAGTTCTGCTGTAACTGTCTGCCTTAAACAGTCATCATGCCTTGAATTATGACTGTTAGGCTTCGTTTACACATGCGATTGGGGGTGCTAAAACCTTGTGGCTGAGTTGTATTTTTTCGCCCTGCAGCCGCGCTCCCTTTTATTTCTAAGGGAGCCTCTGGGGGTGTACACATGCCATGGTCACAATACTTTGCTTTTTTGGTCACGGCTGGAATTATTATGCCCTATTTTAATCCCCTATATATCGGACAACCCCACTGCAACCATGCACGTTGTGTGTGGTTGCAGGGCAGTTGCAGCACAGACCCATTCACTTAAATGAGTCGTACCTTGCAGTACCGCCGGTGGGCCGATGATACACCTCCTCAGTGCCTGTCTTTGAATGTCTGAAGAGCGACTGGACCATGAATCATGCTTCAAACAGCAAAGCCCTAAGGCTGGCCATACACTATACAATTTTCTGTCCAATTTCTGCCCAATTTCCTTTAGATTTACCTTCAACTATGTACTGCAAGAGCCTGCCTAATTGGATACAACTGAAAGTGTTGTTTGGGTTTGACCTCCTATTATATGGTTTTTGGTAAATCTAAAGCAAAAATCTCAAGAAAATTGTATAGTGTACGGCCAGTCTTAGGCTGGCCATACACTATATAAGTTTCTGTCCAATTTCTGCCCAATTTCCTTTAGATTTACCTTCAGCTGTGCAGTGCAAGGGCCTGCCTAATTGGATACAAGTGAAAGTGTTTAGGTTTGACCTCATATTATATAGTTTTTGATAAATCTAAAGGAAAATTCTCAAGAAAATTGTATAATGAATGGCCAGCCTTACAGTTACTAGTGTGCTTGTTAGCTCTCAACCAAACTGCCAAGTGCAGTGTATGTGTGTGTGTGATAAAGGAACTACATGGTAACATTTTATAGCAGTGTGGAGCTGGGCTTTATACATGTATATAAAAACATTTAAGGAGCTTCTCCTTAATGAGAAACGGCAAGGCAGTGTGAATTGATATCTGGATATGTAGGAGGTCAGAGGACTCTTGGGTTACTGCAACTTTGCACATTAACATTGATTTGCACTGCCTCATTGCCTCTTTTCTCTGTTTCTTTCATTATTTCTTTACTGGGGCACAGCAGTCCAGGATGGCTTATATCATTGTGAACCATTCTGAATTACTACTGCTATGTTTAATTAAGTCCTTTTGTTTTTATTTATTGTTCTTCAAGTACGTACATTATTGTCATTGCAGATTTATCTATGTTTTAAATTTCCTGTTATTAAACAATGCATCTAATTAAAGATCAGTTTTATAGTAAAAACTGGGAAATAATCTGTTCACTAGGGGGCATATTGAAATGTTTTTAAAAGTTCAGTTTATGCTACAGAACTGCTTCTCTATATATTGCCTAGAAAACAAATGACCTAATTATCAGGTGGATCTTATTAGCAGCACTATGCAAGTGCTATGCTATATAAATAGTGTGTTCCCAGCAAAAGTCAGCCACTTGGTCCATTTAGATTGGTTGGGAGTAGCAGAGCACTAACCCCCTGGTGATTCAAAGGGGTTGATTTACTAAAGGCAAATAGACTGTGCACTTTCAGTCCCTTCAGAGTTTAGTAAATGAGGTTCACTTTGTGAAGAATACTTAATCACATGCAAGGAAAATAAAAAAAACAGCATTTTTGCTTGCACACAATTGGATGATGAAAGTCAGCAGAGATTCACCTCATTTACTAAGATCTGGAGCAACTGCACTTGCAAAGTGCATAGTCTATTTTCTTTTAGTAAATCATTCCCAAAGTAGTTGATGTTGGATATTTTTACCTCCACAGTAAAATTATTAAAGTGATTCTAAAGGCTTACTTTTTTTTTTAAAATAACAAACATGTCTATACTTACCTGCTGTGTGCAGTGGTTTTGCAAAGAGCAGCCTGAATCCTCCACTTTTTGGGTCTCCCACCTGCGCTCCTGGCCCCTCCCTCCTGTTGGGTGCTCCCACATCAATCAGCTGCTCTGTGTGTCCCTCACTCTTCTCATTGGCTCACTGGCTCTGATTGACAGCAGTGGGAGCCAATGGGTCTCACTGCTGCTTCAGCCATTGAGGCGAGAGAGTCCTGGGATAGCAGAGACTCCAGTACACATCACTGGATCGAGAGGGAAAACAGAAGTTTTTACCTTCAAGGATAGAATACATTATGGTAAAGAACCTTGAGCCTTTAGAACCACATTATTGTTACTAAACCCACAACAGTAAAATCAGTCTGTATATGCAGTAAAGCATGCTTGTTATACTCACTGTGGAACTTAAGAGGCTATCCTCTGCATTGTGTAAAAAGACCGTTTGATCCTGACTTCTTAGTTCCTCTCCTTTTTCAAGTGACCACCTCTTATCTCCTGATGAGACAGACTGAACTGTAGGAATTTGCACATGCTCAGTTTGGTGTGTATTGCTAGAGAGGGTTTTTTTTTTTCTTGGGAGAGTGCATGTGATCAGCACAGAGTCGATCAGGACTGTCCAGACAGAGGTCAGGGGTTCTGCATCCTCCTAGAGCAGAAAGAAAATTCCTCCTACAAGCTTTAGCTAGTGCTGGGCTGGACACTGATATAAATCACAAGACTGCTATATACTGCTGATGGGAAAAGGTATTTAGCAGTTTATATTTGCTAAAATAATTGCATTTCTAATTTACAGTTCTGTGTACTGTGGGAGACCAGATATAGTGAATGCAGGGTCCTGGGTTTAGTAACATTTTAAGGGCAGTATGATTTCATAATTTATTTTTTGTGCACACAGGATTAACATAAAATAAAAGCCTAACAGATATATAAAAACTTTTAAACTACTTTCCCAAATCCTCTCACTCTTGTGTTTGGGGGAGAAGCCTGAGAAAACTGAATCAGCATCTCTAGAGCCACAGTTGCTTTTTTAGTTGTGCTAGAAAGAGAAAAGGGAACTCCTACATAGAAAAAAAAAAACATTTAGATGGAGTGAACAGTTAAAACATTCTTTGTGCTCATGGAAGTGAGTGCAATACTAGACAGACCATACAATACCAACTTCCCTGCTGTCAGAATACAGTGATTAGTGGTGCTGGCTATATCCGGCACCACTGACCATTCAGGAAAACCCAATATTTTGGTTGTGCACAAGTCGATTGATAGATCGACTTGTGTACAATCAACCTGCCAATACATTGAAATTTCATTGGTCCCTGCTGTACCAATGGAATTTTGATTTAATCTCCTCCACTGGCTGGGCAAATAATTTATTTTAAAATTATTATTATTATTATACAGTATTTATAAAGCGCCAATAGTTCGCTCAGCGCTGTACCAAAGGGGGACAGAACATGTGACAGAACAATACCAATACAATGCAAAACATGAGGGGATCGAGGGCCCTGCTCTTTCGAGCTTACAATCTAGGAGGGAGGGGGTGGTGGCACAGGAGGAGATAGCTGTGGGGGATGGAGTGGTAGGAAGAGTGGAGGAGGTCGGCAAGTTAGCAGGGGGTGGGGTAGGCTTCCCTGAAGAGATGGGTTTTCAGGGTGCGCCTAAAGGAGAGGAGAGTAGGTGATAATCTGATGGGTTGGGGCAGGGAGTTCCAGAGGATGGGTGACACCCTGGAGAAGTCCTGGAGGCGGGCATGGGAGGAGGAGACCAGGGAACTAGAGAGAAGGAGGTCTTGTGAGGAGCGGAGTGTGCGTGCTGGGCGGTACTTGGATATTAGGTCGGTGATGTAGTTCGGGGCAGTATGGTGGACAGCTTTGTACGTCAGCGTTAGGATTTTGAATTTGATCCGTTGCGCAATCGGAAGCCAGTGGAGGGATTGGCAGAGGGGGGTGGCGGAGACAGAGCGGTTGGAAAGGTGAATGAGTCTGGCAGCCGTATTCAGGATCGACTGAAGCGGGGATAGCCAGCGGCGAGGCAGGCCAGTGAGGAGGCAGTTGCAGTAGTCGAGTCGTGATATGATGAGGGAGTGGATGAGCTGTTTAGTGGTTTCTGGGGTTAGGAACGTGCGGATTTTGGCGATGTTGCGGAGGTGGAGTCTGCACGAGTTTGTTAAAGATTGGACTTGGGGCTGGAAGGATAGGTTGGAGTCCAGAATGACACCCAGTACTCTGGCCTGCAGGGCAGGTTTGATGGTAGCATTGTTGGATGTGATGGAGAAGTCAATGGGGGGTGGGGTCCGGGCTGGGGGGAAGACAAGAAACTCGGTTTTGGAGAGGTTCAATTTAAGGAAGTGGAGCGACATCCAGTCTGATATGTCGCTCAGTAGGTGTGTGATTCGGGCTGAGACCAAGGGGGTGAGGTGGGGGGTTGAGAGATAGATTTGTGTGTCGTCGGCATAGAGGTGGTAGTTGAAGCCGTGAGAGTGTATGAGTTGGCCAAGGGAGGAGGTATAGATGGAGAAGAGAAGGGGCCCGAGGACAGGTTTTTTAATATAAAATCTGTCAGCTGGTGCAAGTCCTAGCAAAAGGGGTGGGCTCCGTTATTTTATCTTATTTATTTTTAATCATGCAAGCACCAATCACAATAAAGTGTACTTTATGTGATCTGACCAAGAGCAAATTGGTAGCCTCTGTAACTGCTTTTATTTCAAGATGAACTCTGGGCACAAAAACTTTCATTTAAATATATTCCTCAATAGCCACAAAGGAAATAAATCAGCTTTGTGGCCACCAAGTGTTGTTGTAAACCCAGATATTACCCTGTATAAGTAGAAGTGACATCAATACTGTGTTGTGCTGTGCAGAGAGCAGAGCTGTGGGAGTAACCCTGCAGGCCCCACCCACTACAGGCTGCCTGTAGAAAACTACAGGAGGGGGTGGAGACAAGACCAGTTACCCTACACAAGGAGAGAGAGCAGCAGTGACCAGTCATTATTACAGGAAGCTCCTGCACAGAGCAAAAGTTTCTCACTTGATTACTGTACAGATCTGGAAGAAATGCACAAAGCACACCGAGATACAAGGAAGAATTCACTTGTGTAACCCATTGAAATGTTATTAGTTTCAATACATTAAAGTGGACATTAGCTGGCGGTGACCTGCTACTCAGGGTTACTCACATTGACAGAACAGCCCCCTGGAACTTGTATTTCTGAACAGCAGGACTTAGCTGATAAGCAGAGTGCCTAGGACTACATTTCCCAGGAGAGGTAGCGTGTGGGTGGGGGCATATAAATATCAAAACCCGGGAGATTGGTGAGGAGAGTGCAAAGGGAGATTGAAGGAGAAAGAGGTGTGCTGTCTGCTGAAGTACTGAACTAGGTCACGAAGCCAAGATTGGAGAAAGAGAGAGAGAAGAAAGAACTTACTGACTGTCACGCTGCCAAGCAAGCCACTCTGATAGCAAGAGACAGAGTGCAACGCCAAGTCTTAACCAGAGGGCTCGTGGACTGTCTCCATCCATTGGGAGAGACGTGGCAAACTGCCGAACCACATTGATCGGGTAAGAGACCCATGCATCCACTAACAAAGTAAAAATTGATAGTTCGTCAGCTCATTTATCTACCTGCACATAGTTGTAAACATTACATACAGTTGCCCTAGTTTGCAGCCTAGTTACACCAGTGCCACCATTGGAATACATCTGCAGTAAAGTTATCATTTGAGCTGACCGAAGGATATACAGCCAAAGAGGAGGATGGAGGGACCAAGCTGTGGCTCCGTGTGTGAATGGACACACGGAGCAGCAGGTGCCCCCATAGCAACTTGCTTGCTATGGGGACACCTGACAGAAAGGAGTAGCCTGGAGAGCCAACAGGGGACCCAAGAAGAGGAGGATTGAGGCTGCTCTGTGCAAAACCACTGCACACAGCAGGTAAGTTTGTTATTTAACCAAAAAAAATTAACCTTTAGTATCGCTTTAAGAAAGGAATGTATGGTGCTATTTGAACATGTTGCTAATTCATTGAGTTATATTGTATACCATTCTTTAGAAATAGTTGTATTGTAAATGCTTCAAAAAACAGTGAGTACTCTTAGGCTAAGTTCACGCTAATGCGGTGTGGTACATCTCATGTGATTTGCACAGGAACCGCACCTCATTCCTGTGCAAATCACATGCTATTTGTGTGCAGTGCGAATGGAGCCATAAATTATGTATGGCTCAAATCGCACTGCACCCGCACCAGTAAGGTGCAGGACCCTTTTTTGGGTCTGCACTAGACTCGGGTTGCATGGGTATCCCCACCTATGTTATCTGATTCTGCACATCACCGCGATTTCAGGGTGTTGTTAACATACACACCCCCATCGGTTCACATGAACGGGGTGCGATTCTGATGCGGTACGGAATTCGCACAGAGAAAAATGCTGCAAATTCCACACCACATCAGTGTGAACCCAGCCTATTGATCAGACAATGGATGCACCAAACCTGCACTAAAAATGCAGCTAGTAAGTGTTTAAAAACTGCACCGGACCCGCAATGGATCAGTGTGAAGAGTACTATAGGAATACACAGTCACGCATTTTTCTTCCACTTCTTTTAATGCAAAAGCGGAAGAAAAACGGATCAGTGTGAAAGCAGACTTAGCTGGTTCAAAGTTAGAAGATAAAATGCAAAACAGGGTCAGAATGGCAAAGAGCGTGACTCACTCCTTCAGTAACACAGTACAGAACACAGCTACTTGCACTAATCCCCATATACAGCACTCCTCACACTAAAGTCCGGGGTAGCTCTGGTAACACAGGTGAACAGCTGGAGGGATCCATGGCCCAAGGACAAAGGACCAACTTACCAGAACTGGAGTATTTTGATAGCAATTGGGGATGTACTTCCTAAATAGCTGGGTCTTTTGGAGAAGTTGCATGCTAATATACCTCATTCACATTTGTGGTTGGGGGTGGTAAAAAACACATGACAGGGCCGCATTTTCCCGATGCCCCCAACCCCCCAACCCCAACAGCTCCCCTAAAATGCAATGGCAGCAGATTGGAGTGTACATGTGCCAGCCGACCTGCCTATTGAATGTGGCATACCCTTTCACAGGGCAGCACAAGTGCAAACAAATGTGTTTTCTGTGAGCTGCTGAGGGAGAAAAGTATATTTCCTGGCTGTGTCCAGAGAAAAAGAAGTTCCAGGGAGTTGTGGAAAAAGGAGTCATAGAGGCCTGTGCTTCCATCTGAGCATAGTGAGTAAGTGGGTTCTCTGATACATGAGTACAGTGGGAAATCAGCTGATCATTTCTAGTCTTTCATATCAATATTTTTCGGACTTTCACTAAGTGTTTCTCCGAAAACACATGCCAAAATCGACAAGAGCATTTGTATTGAATGGTAATATTTCTACGGCTATGGGCTTCCGCATAGATACTCTGCTCACAACTTCCTTCTGACACCTTTGCACAATAACAGTACTGCAGCTGATATAGGAAGGTCCCAAGCTCCCTCACTAGGCAATCAATATCAGGTGATGTAGCAGAAATAGCTTCCAGTGTACTAGAAGTTAACATGATGTGTATGCATGTGAAATGATAGCACAGACGTGCCTCAAGACAGGGTTCATATGGATCCAGGGGTGGACTGACCATTTGAAAACTCAGGC